TACCAACCCGCCCCCCATTTTGGGGAAAGGGGGGGGGGGGGAAATCGAGAGCCATGGAAACATCAGATCTCATAAGGAAAACCATGACTGCTTTAGTATTAATAGAGAGCAGACAAGGGCACCTATTTAAAGACAGACCTGGCTAAGCGCTTGCTTCGCTCTCAGTGGCTTAGTCAAACTTGTGGAAATCAGTTACAGGTTTTGAAATTCAAGCGGAACACAGATGGTTAGCCCACAGCCTGAGATCCCACTTCTTTCCAAGTCTAATTTAAAGCACTTGGTTTAGACTAAATTATTTGGGATCCTTTCTCCAATTCACTAACAGGGAAGGACCACATAAATGCTCAGTTTCTACATTCTTCACTAAGCATCCCCTACTTGCTAGTACCAGAAACAAGGCACTGGGATAGACAGATCTTTAACCTGAGCTGGCATGGCCGTTCTTAGCCTTTGCTTTAACCTGCTTCTTTCACCGAGTCTTGACACAACACGCTGCAAGAAGCAACTGCCAATGAAGTTAAAGGTGGGCTTGGTTCTTGGTGACAGATAACAAGAGTTTAGTTCAGTTTATCATTGTTTTTATACAATGTTACAAGTCAACGTATAAATGAGCAGGGAAAGCTTTTAGAAATCTGCAGATCTGTGATGTGATGTATGGTTTCCAAATACAAAACATGCCCAGATGTATCCAGTGCCATCACTCTACTGACAACGGAGCTAGAAGAAACCCAAACCTTTTTTCATCTGGTTCTCTCAAAAAAGCGGCAAAATCCCTTTGCAGTTACTGCCTGAACACAAGATTTTCCTTTAGCCATCAGCTTTGCAGTGCCGGGGAAGATAACTCAAGGAAGCAAACTTTATTTCTTACTTGCTCTTGAAGGCTTTGAGCCAGTGCCTGCTGAAGTTCTTGTTCTTCCCTCTCTCTCTCCATATCGTACTGCTGCAGCCAGTCAACCTCCCCCTGGGAGCCTTCTGGAGTTTTGTTTTCCTTATTCTCATCAAAATCTTTAGTTATCTCGGTGAAATTGGCAGGACCTGAGGAATCAGAAAGTACAGTTATGCCTTCCTGGGTCTTCTGTTTGTTACCAGCTAAATCCTCTTTAAATCACCACAATCCTTGCAGCACAGTGACATCTATTGACACAGGAGAGCTCACCAGCCATAAAAAACCCCACACGAGTCAAATGGAAAAAGCTTCAAAGTGCAGTCTTATACTTATTTTAACAGGTGTAAGATGAACCATTTGATTAATCCCTAAACTTGTTTTCTTTTTAGTATTTCACGTTCACTCAGAAACAGCAACTTTAAATTACGGTGTCACACACCACTAGGTTTCTGCAGCCATGAAACTTGACACTTGAATTTCTCTAGAAGGAACCGTGGATTATAAAAATTTGCATTGCATATTATACCTTGGAGTACTACGTATGAAGCCACAATTAAAGCCAAATCATATGTAAGACTGAGGGAAGCACAAATCTGAAGCATTGTTTAAATTTGTCAACTTTCTGCTTCACGTAAGAGCCTCAATCTTGTGAACACTACAGCTTTAAAAGTGCAAGAAGATCGTAACTCTTCAGTTCACCTTTAAAGCAAACACTATGGTAGAAGTATTTTACAAAACTTCTGGAATGAATATTCATTCAACCACTGCCTACATCTCCTGCAGTTGCACGACACTTTGATTCTCCCGTTTGCTTGCAGCTGAGAGCGTCAGGACCTGCTCCAACAGCAGTCATGCAGCAACATGTGAAACTTTATAGTTTTGCCCTATGCAGACTTCAACATCTGCTCATTAGTTATTAGCAAGGATTATACAAGGCAGTCTCAGTATCTGTGACCTCTTAAACACAAGACCACCAGAACTATAATCCATCAGTCTAATCCTCTTAAGTTGAAAAACAAAACAGAATTTATTACATGACCTTTGAAAACTTCCAATGTAAGAAAAAATATTCACTCAACTCGCACAATCGTTATTTGAGGATCATGTAGCAGAAAAGACATCTTCTGTCATATCTAAATTAGCCTTTTTGAAGGCACCACAAATTATTCAGTGTTTACAAACAAAAAAATATTAGCAGTTACAAGAAATGGACCAAGTTAAATCCTCCATGTTTAGAATCATCTTGTCTGATATAACAAAGTATCCTTTGCAATTAAGTTTCCTTTAAATAGAACGTAGGATTGTGAATTCATGGCATATTACATTCAGCTGCCATAACTGGTAACTCAACATACACACATACTTCATCTGAATGCCAAACCATACGCTCTGAGCAGTACTTATGTTTTTTGGTCCCACAGAGTCAAACACAGAAAGCTAGATGCAATGTTGAGTGTTTAACTGCATTCTTAATCAGAAAATACAGAAACTTTTATTTATTAAACACATGCTTTTTGCTTAAGTGTCACAATACAGCCTTCAAAATAATTACATTATACTTTCCAAGGAAAACCTGGGGAGAGATACATTTATGTGGCCACACTCTCACAACTCTCTTTCACACAACCATCAGTGTATATAAAGGGTGACGCAAACAAGGCTGACCACAGACTTTGTTTTCTTACACACCGCCTTCCAACATGAAAGCTGTCAAGAGCTGTCCATTGAAACAAGCATGATTTTTGGTAAGAGAGTGGGGGGTTTGTTGTTAATATTTAACCTCCTGGCTCTTAGAGAAGGAGAGCATATTGTTGGCCTGATTTTCCAGGCTAGTGGAATTAAAAATCTGACTGAAAGCATGTAGCACACAACAAATGATAAACAGTGAAATTTCCTTCAGCCAATTAAAGGAAGACAATCGACTTCCCCATGCTGAGATAAAACAGGCTCCTTCTTGTACTTAACTGTTTTTCTGGGTCAGAGGCCATAATTCACATGCTGAATCTCTTATGTTCAAGGGCCTGCTCTCACATAAAGTATTAGAAAAAAATAGAGAGAAAAAACTAAATTCATTAGTAACTAGTGACAAAATAACTGCATTTATGAAAGCATTCTAGTCTTAGGCACCCCAGACGTCACTCTTGCACATCAGCAATGTGAACACTGCTGCTGTGCTGCCCTGGCTGTGACAGCTACCGAGATGAAAATACTTTGATTATGGAAGATTAAGTTCCAGACACTGCCAAATCTTAGTAAAGTCAATTGTCTGGTATAGGAACCAGTGGAAGCATGTGTTAATCAGGAGAGAAAAAAATGGAAATTAACTCTGAAGATGACCTTACCTTTATCTGAGAGGTGACAGACATACAAGAAAACACATTTTCGCAGTTCAATGAATTAAACACTTTATACACAGGGAAAGTGTAAGAAAACTCTGAGGAAGTCAGGCAGTTTCAGCAATGCACCTGCATCCAGATTCTACCACCATACATTACTAACCTGCTGTTATCAGTAACCCGCTTTAGCTCACTATAGTCCAATTAAGATGGTTACTTCACCTTACCTGAGTCTAATGCAGCTTTGGGTTTCTCCATCTCCATAGATTCCAGGTTTTCCGGCAATTCCTGAATTTCATCGTCTCCAAAACCAGTGTCTGGGCTGCTTGTGGGCTTATCTTCATCATGGCTCAGAGACAGAGAAGCTTCCCTTTTGCTAATCTCTAAGACAGCTGCTAGCAGCTCATCTTCGCTCATCCCATCAAAACTAGCATTACCCAGATCAGGTTTATCACCCTCCATTTTGCTTCTTTTTGAACCCTAAAGATGAACAGAGCTATGATTAAGTGCTTGAATAAACAGGTGCATAACATAAGCTTTACATTTCTGTGGAGATTTGTGTTTTTTTTTATTTTATTAACCCCAGGGAGTGGGAGCTTGGCTCTGTCAACATGAAACAGATAGTTACATGAGACTCAACTGATAGACAACCTTTGTAGCTACATTCATTCCAAGGAATAATATTTAAATATAAACTACAACCAGTTTTTACAGGCCCTGTGGATTAACATACACAAGATAATTCTTCCCTTCAATACTTGTGTTCCACTTTTAGGTTCTGATGAATCCTCAAGCCTCTGGCAAGTCAGCACTGAGGCACAAGTAGCAAAATTGCAAGTTTCTTAACAAAGGCTGAGGTAGCAACCCAAGAGTAACTGAACTTGAACACAGGGATGGAAGAATAGGAACTGAAATCAGGCTGGTATGGAGAGCAATTAAAATTAGGTTTGGTGCTGCAGATTTGCCATATGAAATCTTAGAGGGTGAGGGGAGGACTCTGCAAACCAAGTAAGAAAACAGTTAACTAGGGAAAGGGGGGAATTATTCCTTCCTAAAGAAAACAATGACTTGAAATTGGAAGAAAAGAAAAACACTTTAGCCTTAATCTGAATTTTTCCTTTTTTAGTTATTTTCCCAAAACTAATGCTCATCAACTCCTACACCATACTGATTTGCCACTAATACAGTAATTTCAATAATTTTGATATTAACTGTTAATCAGGAGGTTAACCTCCATGTATACATATTTACACAATTATACTACTTACCTTATGCTTAGATTCCCCCCCCCCCATATTATGTTAAAAATGGGGGAAAATAGCTTCTGTCAGAAGGTACTTATACAGGTCTTATTCCAAAAGCATTTGGATGGATCTCAGAACTTCGTTAAAATGAATAAAAATACATTTTTACTTAAATACAGCAAGCTTTTGATGAGCAAGACTAGTTTTATATAGCAAACATTTTGTATTAAAACTGGCTTATCAAACAAGATTAGCAAATGAATTAGCCAACTAAATTGCTTGTTCTAGACATCATGCCCTCCAAGAATTAGAACTGACAAATTTAAACCTCTCTCCTCACTTCTATTCATGCACTGAATAAGGAAAGCAGAGTACCTGCTTTTTAAGCTTTCTGATTTCTCCCTCTGCACCTGTAGGCTACTAACGTCAAAACTGGTTTAGCTCTCCAGCAAACCCTCGTTCCAGGCACTTTGCCAACAACTATCACTAATTCAGTGGCTGGACTTTAAGGACTTGGCAGCAACTGTGCATTATTTGAATACAACTTTTCTATTAGAAATTATTTGCATAGATTTTAAGTAGTTTAGGCTCTGAGGCAGGCTGCTTTAAATAAGTATTTTTTTAAAAAGTACTTCAAATACTACTTCATTTGCAGTGGCAGAAATCAGAGAAACTGCAGTTCTGCCGACTTTAGCTGGATAACTGCTATTTGCCCCTACAACCCAATGTCGAATACACCTGCTGTTCCAGCTGTTTTGCAAGCAGAGCCCCTCAGGGGATCTACCAGCCCTATGGAGTGACTTCCAAGCCCCTAACACAACACCATCAACAGCTGCTATGAGAAGTATACCAAGGGAAATGATGCAGCAGCAGTAATGCCACTTCCGAGGACAAAGACCAGGACCTCCCAGGACAACACAGAGACAGACAGAGGATCTAGTTAGTGATAACACATGACTGGTCAGGTCTTGTGGTTGAGGAGTGGCCAACGTGCACGGCCACAAAGAATAAAGTCACTTATACTGAATCATCACCACCACTGTCTCTTTCCCACAACAGGCTGGAAAACCTATAATTAATTTGCTATTCAAATTAATAGGCTTTATTCCCACAATTTCTGCACTCACAGGGCTTGTGCAATAGAGACTACCTACACTTCCTCACAAACAAAACTCGAGGAAGAATAATTTAGAACAGTTTGGAATACTTTTTCTGAGGGACTTCAAAGACAAACTGGTTTCCTTCCTCCACCCACATCTAGCTGTAGATGCGCCACGCAGGACAGCAGTTGCCTACTCCATCCCTGAGATTTTCAAAAAATGGTTTTCTGCTTTCTGCCAAAGCAATCCATTCCATACCTACATATCCTGAGCATCAGGAAGCTTTCCCTAATATTTAATCTAAAAACTACTGTCTGCAGTTTAGTCTATTACTTTTTGTTCTATCCGCGACGAGCATGGAAAATAACACATTTCCATTCTTTCCCTTCCTTGAAGACCTGCTTAGGTTTCTCCTTAAACTAAGGACCCAAATTCACTTGCCTGCTCTTTCTCCCAAAATTCTTCCTTTCTAGCCCTCTGATCATTCATGTTCCTCTTCTCTGGCCCTTCTCCCCTTAATCTATAACTCTTTTGGAGTGCAGAGCCCAAAGCTGGATCTAGAACTCCAGCTAAAGCTCAATGCTGAAGAAAAAAAGGGAAGGATTACTTCATGCAACCTGCAGGCTATGCCTCTGTCTATAGACTTGTGTTTTCAACCAGCCTGACCTTGTGATCAACTGTCACCCTTCGGCTCCTTTCTGAAGGCCCACAGCTTTCCCAGCTGTTCCCATCCTGCATTTACAGTCATTAGTCCTGCTAAGATTAGCACCTTTCATCCGTTTCTGTTGAACAACTCCTGCTATTTTTAGGCAATTTCTCAGATTTGTCAAGATTATTCTTAACTGTAGTTCTGAGCTTCAACATACTTGCAAACCCTTCCCACCTCTGGGTCTTCTGAAAATTTAATACTCATTATCTATTTTATAATTTATTAAATACTGAGTGGATCAGGATCCTCCCTTGGTTTGATGTTCCCCATCAGATCAGAAACTGTAGATATCTTCCTCGTTACCTATTGTTATTCAGCTAGCTTTACGCCTGCCCCTTCATGCCATAATCAAGACCACAAGCCTCTGCTTGATTAAAACAACCCCATGAACATTGTCAAAAACTTTAGAGAAGTGGAGATGCAGACACCTGCCCTAAGCACCAGGCCTGCAACACTAACAGAAGAAAGTGGTACTGCAAGATAATCCGCTAAGCTTCTTGCTTTCCATTCTGGGTCATCATTCTTCCCCAGACAACTCATCTACCTGCTAATACGCTGCCCTGATAGAGGCAAAAAAATACCGTGGCAACATTAATACTAGTCACGATGAAGAGCTCAGAGGCAATTTGAAGTTAACTGTGCCTTTACATCAATGAGCTTGATCTCTACACAATTCTACGTGCCCATCTCCCAAAGACTGATAGCTTCAGTTTCTAAAAGCTTTTCAAAAGCCACACTGGAAAGGGGACACAGATTGGATGTGCAAGACATTCTCTCAAATGAATATTTTGCCTAGCCCAACTTGTACTGGGTCTAATTTAATCAAGGACTTTACTGCATAATTTTATTCTTGGCAGCCCATTATATTTCGGCCTGGAAATGTTATTGGTGAAAGTTACCCAAAGGACCGACAAACCTGCTAAGCAGCTGGTATACATAACCTGAAAACTCAAGTGCAATTGCAACACTATTACCTCTGTTCCCAGTGGGAACCCAAGACAAGTGTACAGAGAGGCCAATTAGCAAAGCACTCTCTTCCAGCATTGCAGTGCTAATTAGGAGGAAAAACCCCAACTTATCTTACATCAATTTTACTCAGTCTATGATAAGAAAAGCATAGGCCAGACATGAGCACATATAGGATCTATGCATATGAAAGTTTGTGGTTTTCTCCCTTACCTTTTCCGGCTCTTCTTGCAGCTGTTGCTGATCTCTACTCTGTATATTACATAACCTTTGGCTATGGGCAACAGAACGTTTCAACGGCTCATCATCACTGTCAGAATCTACATAGAGCGCTGCAGAGCTCTTTGACTTGAAAGTGTATTTTCTGTAAATTAAAAACATGGCTATAAAACTTTACAGCATTGTAGCATTGTACAAATCTGTTTTGAAGTAATGGTTAAAGAAGTCTTACACCCAACATTCACATTGTGGGGCAGTTCAATTTGGGGAACAAACTGCAACAATTGTCAACAATTTATTAACATAGCAGGCAGGGTTTTCAAAGAAGGTATATTTTACTAGGTTAACTGACATACAGCAACAGCCTGCAATAGCAACTTACAACACTAAAAGTTACTAAGGATGCGTCTCTTGCTTCTAAGGCCAAGGATTCTACACTTTATTACCTAGCAATCCCAGTCACTACTCATGAGTCGAGTCCGCAGTAACATGTAGAACTTGGCACAAACCATTTGACTTCTGAAGTTTACTAAGCTGGACACATGACTTCCCACATCATTACTAGGATATAAAAAGCGCAAATCAGGGTAAGTTTTTCAGTTTTCCTGTTTGCTCTTTCATTAAGATAAATTCTTGCTTCTTTAGAACAGAAGACAAGGGAGTCTTGGGAAGTCATGATTTCTGCTCAATTAGGAAATCTGGTCTTTAAGTATTCCAAAATGCAAAACTATCCAGTGTGATATCACGTTTTTCACTAGATCAAAAACTGGCCTTTCAAAATGGCCTACAAAAACAATGCCCCCTCATCTTTGCAAATAAACTTAAGGAACTAACCACCTGTTCCCAAAACACACACGGGGGCTCCAGAGAGCCAGAATAGAGAAAATAGCTAGATTGCAGAATTAGAAACCATTTTGCTTCTTATATACATGACTTGCAACTACAAATGCAAGCTAGTTTAAGATATCTGGCACTGACAAATCATCTCTACAAACTAAATCCAGTTCTCATTCTGATGCTCAGTCTTCTGTCTGGAAAAAAACCCAAAAGTCATCTTTGCTTACTTACAAGTCCCCAAGGGTTCTCAAAAGAAATGCTAAGGTGATCACATCAACTAGGCAAACTGTACCATTCATATTCATTTCAGCTAGCATGTAGCACCAATAAAACTCAGATATGAAAAAAGACAGTGGCTGAAATAGTTTACTACAATAGAAAAATAGAAAAAAAAAGAAAGAAAACAAGTAGAAAAAGTAGAAAGATTAAAGAAGAAGAATTAGAAATGTTAAAATGCCTTAAAAATTATCCCATGAAACCTCAGGCCATGGGCATTTCAGAGCTATAACTCACCTACAAGGTGTGGAAGTGCTTATAGTACAGGAATTCACCATTTGGGAGGCTTTCAATGGACGGGAACTATTAAAAAAGCAAAGTATTTATTGCAACAGTTACAGTCTTTAAGAAATAAGTGTTTACTTGTCTGCTATGCATGCAAATCCATGACCAAAGAAACAAGTAAAATACCTTATGTACTTGCTAATTGCTTAGAGTTAGAGTAGTAACTCCATCATGCTATAAATATACAACAGTTGTTCAAAACCATATATAATGCTTTAAACTTGATTCACTTCTTAGTGATGTACCCTTAGGAACAAGCTCACAAATTAAAGGCTTTGGGCTCCCAATGTCAAGACAACTCATTCATTTATTTTTTATTCCCACCAACACTCAAGTTCCTGCTCCCAAACCACAGTCTCCTGTTGCTGTCTGGATAAGCTGGTTTTCTGGCATGTCCCACGTCTCCGTTTCTCCTTCCTTACCTAGATTCTTCCAAACAAACTTCCTGCTCCATTTAATCCTTTCATGGGCTCCTCAAAGTCTATCACTATCACTAAACATCTCTCCACCAGATGGCTGCCAATGCAGAAATTTTTTTCTAATCTTCCCCCTCAAACCAGGGCGGCTGCTTCTTTCCAGCCTAGTTACCCTTCCACTCTCTGATCAATCAGAATGGTTTCAATGACTAAAAAAAGAAAAGCCATTGGAAAGCTATTTCAAACATATTTACAAGTATTTCTGCTCTGGTTAGCTTAAGCTGTTTGTTGTGTTTGATTTCTATTGTTAAAGCAAACTCTTGGAAAACATCCACGTAAATCTCAACATAAATCTCAAACGTCACTAAACGTTCAGCACTAAATGTTCAGCAGAAGAATGCATGCCACACTGCTGAACATATACACCAGATGTGTCCTAACTCACTACAGCTACCGTGGTTACGTCACCAGGCAGGGATCACAAGAGACCTGAGGGTTTCTTTTCCTTATTCTGCCACAGGCTTCCCATGTGACAACTGGCACATTTAATCTCTGTGCCTCAGGACAAGCAGCTGTACAGAAATAACTGTCACAGGGAAAAGGAGAGAGTATTTTCAGCATGTGAAGTGCTCAGATACTACAGTGGCACAGGAAAAACAATGAAAAATGAATGACAGCACAGGAGGTGCATGTGGAAATTAGCAAAGAGGTAGGATGTTACGTCTCCTAGGCAGAGTTAAGTGTGCTGTGAAAAGGAATCTGGATTATTTTGGACTGAGGCATACTTTTTAGAAATCGCTAACAACAGTTCTCTTTAAAAGGATAGAAAGCTATTTTCAAGGACAGCAAAGAATTCTATCTCAGCAAATATTCCCTAGATAACGCACCACCAACTCTTCTTACTGCTTCTGTCATGCTTTCTTTCCATACACGTTCTCATGATGGCATCGTTACAAACTAGCAGTGCACATCTAAAGCTACATAATTTTAGTATTTCCTTGCCCAGGAAGGAGGAGGATCTTCTGGAGGAGATCTGACAACTGCCTACCTTGTGGCATGTGTGCTTAACATGGCATGGATCACTCGAGTTGTACACTTACATTGCAGAATGGACGCTCCATCCCAGCGTCAGCGGCAGCCTAGTACTTTCTGTACAGTGTGAAAGCAGGGTTAAGTATCTTGGAATAACCACCTGCTGCCCAACTTTATGATTGAGAGACAATGCTACATTGAAGCTGTATCGTTTCAGATGAAGAATCAGGACCCTGAGGGATATGAGAGAAGGACAAATGTTAATCTCAAGACAGAAGTCAGAGAAAACCTAGTCAGAATCCAAGTAGCCCTGTTCACAAAATGCATTCACCTGACTGAAACAGATTATTACTTCAGGGTGGTTGGCAAACACTCTTATCTGGCAAGAGACAGGTAATTACTCTCCTGTCCATCACTCAGCTTTGTGCAAAGTGCAGACTCTGCCGACTAAGGAGGCTTCCTGCTTTGATCTGCATCACCTTGCTCTTCAGTCAAGCAGAAGCAAGCAGCTCTTACCAAACCCGTTATTTCTACTACACAGTGAGAGGTAGGAAACAATACAAATATTATCATTATAGGCCAGAATGCTAGTACATTACTCCCAGATATTCAAGACTGTGATGGAGGGATCACACAGCTGCCCAAAACCGAGAAGGAACTGTGCCCATTGCAAGATGTGTACTTGGTTTATCCATCACACCACTTTCTCTTTGAAAGAACTTTTGATCACAACAGTATAATGAGCCTGAAAAGGCCTCCTTACACTGAATCTTCTCCCTTATGCTGCACTTTGCACTATTCAGATCATGCAGCTGTATCATAACTTATGTTGTGCTAATATTCAAAAACTCTGACAAGGGTTTTGCAGTGCTAGCAGAAATACACTATTTAAGCAAAACGCAAGCTAACTACCAAGTTCCTGGGTTCAGTATAAGTATACCTGGGAGAAGGACATAAGCCAGATAAAGTCATCCAACAGGCTCTTTTAGCTTTACATCCCATGAGAAAATGATCCCTATCTCCAAGCACTTCCACTCTAAATAATGAGCTAAACCCAACCACAAGGTCAGACACTATTGAGCATGCCATTAACTCTTCTTCCTCAAAGTGCCATGCTTACTGAGAGAGAAAATAGGTACCAGCATGGGAAGAAGTAATTGATCGAAGCAAACCCCTCTATATACCTTCTGGCACTAATGTCTCCAACCCAGCCCTGTCCATCAGGTCAGCTGAGCACAAAATATTAAGCTTCCAGAATAAAGATCTGTTTCTGCTTCCCTCACATGCCAGAAACTCCACGAAAAGGGGAAGGGGAAAACTCAGCCCTCCTCATGTAGCGACAGGGAGGAAAAGAAAGTGTTGCAGAGGGTGCCCAAGAGAGCTTCTTTAGAGGGAAACTGAAGAATAGCATGAAGACAGCTGTCTCCATGTGCATCTTTCCCACATGCCGACCACCGTACATGCTGTCCTACCCATTTTCCGAGCTTTACTCTTTGAGGGACTTTTGCAACACCTGCTTCCAGGAGAGAGAGAAACAAACAGATGTCAGCACTTACCTGGGAAGCCTGTTGAACTTGTGTGTGACAACAGCAGACTTTCCATTGCACTTCTCACAGGAATACTCAATCTCCTCTGCCTAAGAGAACAGTAAAATGACTAGTGGAACAAAAGACATTAAACAGATCTCAGAAGAAAGCACATTGCTTTTGGCTGTCACAGAAGCTCTTCAAAACAGCTGTTGCACTTAAAATTATAATCACCTCAACATGACCTAACAAGAGGGCATCTGATAAGAGGACAGGTAGCAGAGCTTACAATTTGACAACATATCCACTAATACAGGGAATTTTTCCTGCAAGTCTATTGCAGACCAGTGAATCAGCCACACCTGAAACAAATTAGCTTCCAAAGAGAAGGAATAGTCTCACAAGGTTTATAGTTTTCTCTGCCATACACAAGATTTTTTTTTTCTAATAACCTTTGGTGGAGGATAATTTGCCATGAAGTTTTCTCTCTCTCATTCAAAACCTCAACTTTGTTCCTGAAAAAGCTATCCTCATCTAAACTTGTCAAGGATGTGCTGCACAAGAGGAGAGTTTTGAACAGACAGCAAAAGGGGAAGCATCACTGTGCTAAAATTACATGACTTAGCCATGAAACATTTCTACGGCCCGTTTCTCTAAGTGAGGCCAAATGACACCACTATAATTTAAAAAAAAAAAATATTAAATCATAAGACCTCCACCAGCTTTTAGAAGAATAAGCACATTACTTATTCTATCTGTTGAAAACACGATCTCTAAATGGAGAAAAAACACAGGTCTGTCTGAAGATAGGAAAAATACAACATTACTTCAAAGACGTAAGGTGCATATTTAGCTTTCAGAAACCTCACCTTGAAGCTCTACCTACAAGATGAGCACCCACATATTACAACTATTTTTTTTAATTATTATTTCTGCATGACCTTTTCCTTGCATGTTAATTGAGGCCAGTACACACGCTGTTGAAGCATCCTAGCCCAGGAGAGGAAGCAGCAATTCCTGAGTGATTATCTCAATCTGACAGCCTCCCTTCTCTCCTTTGTATTTGTTTATGCCTCAACTCTTCCACCACAAAATGGGGACGTTTACCTATTTCACAGCAGTATTGTAAGGATCAGTTAATTTCTACACAGCATTTTACAATAAAAAAAATCCTGTATACTGTTAATGTACAAACCTCAAAAAAGTGCAGTTAATTATTTCACATGCCTGCAATCACTGTCATAGAAATGAATAATCAGCTATACAATCAAAATTTCCATATGGTACATAACCTACACATACTCCACAGTGAATAAAAAAACAAATCCCAAAACTATGTACCCGAAAAAAGAGGTCAAGGGAATCCTGGATCGATCGGGAAGGAAGCAATTTCTTTCTTCGAGGAAGGTCAATGGAGAGGTCATTAAACTGTTCTCGCTTAGTGACTGTTTCACCACACCTAAAATAGAAACATGTTTATGTAAGTCTGATGAAAAATATACTTGAAATTAATGGCAACTTACATTTTTTAGGCTAAAGTAACTTCCCACAAAATATATGCCTCTTGATCAATCTATTTTTACTCATCAAAATTAAACTGTTTGATGCTTATGACAAAGCTGAATTTTGGGATTTCACTTTGATGTTTTAGAAGTTGAAAGGGTGTATTTTGTGTAATAGTGAGAACAAAAAAACACAGGCTATTTTGGAGAAGTGATCAGGTTTACAGGAAATCAAAGCGACTACTATGTAGCTGAACACGTCTTCTCCATTCACCCTTCTTCGAGCCCAGCCCAGAAGAAGGGAAAGCCTAGAAATACTTTCTAACTGTTTTTAGAAACAAAATAGTAGTCCATCTAAAAAAAACCAAACCAAAACAAAAACCAACAAAACTAAAAACCTCCTCAATTTTCTTATGGTTTTTTAACTTTTTTGGGAAAAAAAAAGACCCTACAGTCATTTGTCTTCAATAATTACCACCTGCATGCAATTTAATTATTTTAGGGAACTAACACAGTACACACAAAGTAATATTCCCAAATATCTATGTTCATGAAAACTCTGTGGAATGCAAGCATCTCATATGACAATCTGCTGCACAGGCCATATACAATGAATGCCCAGACATACTGGTTTACATCTTTTTCCACAATAACCTAGAGAGACAGAAGAAAACGTCATTCCCTAGAAGCCCTTAGAAAGAACAAATTAAAAACATAGCTTCCCATATTTTTAAGAGGAAAAATTATTTGGCTGAAACCCCCTTTTCTCTGTATTCTCATACAACTGGCACACAAAAACTAAAGCACAGAGGCTTTCCACTGGGTATGTAATGAAGAACTAAATGGTATGAGACTGTTTAAAGATGGCCCGTAGCAGCAGACAGCATGGTGTGAGTTTTACAGCATTTCTAGACCATAGAATATTTCCTAAATATCTAGCTTTGGAAAAAACACAGCTCTTAGTTCTAGTTATAGCCTGCAGATGAAGTCACATAAGATGGAAACACTTCCCAGTCTTTTAAGGTAAGTATGAGTAAAGCTCTCAAGCATACTTACGTTTTGCAAATGATAGAATGCTGAACCTCAAACTCTAAGTTACTGATAACTGGACAGGTATAAACTTTGGTGGCTGAGAGGTCATCAGAAGCCCGTCCAGGGGAGTTATCCTCATTAGCGACTGGCTCACTCTTCCAAGTTTTGTTTAACTTTTCCATGTCCTCCTTCAGCTGATCCAGACACTGGCTCAAGAACTCATGTGCATCCTAGAAACAGAGTAAACTCAAAGTAGTTTTGTACAACCTCATTCAGTATCTTTCTCTCACACACACACAGAGGCTGGGGAAATTATGTTTTTGTTCATTGCATTCAGCAATACTAAGGCAGTTCTGCTCTAACAAACAGCAGACAATTGTCATCATTCAATCAAAAGCTCAAGTCACCGTCAAACGGAGTTGAAGCTCGGCAGGAGTCCAATGCACTCCAAACACTGAACCAACTACACGTAATTGTTTCTAGACAATATGGTACTTACGTTCTGCATGTACCCAGAAAATCTCTCTGCAGTAGCTGAAATGGCACTTTTCACCTTCTTGAGCAGCTCTTTCTTAACCTCAGGGCTGCAGACATCCTTTTTAGCAAGCAGATGGGCAAAACGTCTGCAGAAGTCAATGCAATGAAACACTCATTGGATTTCCAAGACTTTAGAGAAACAAAATAAAACTCATGATACCTCATTTTAAGAGTCTCTAAAAGCATTTCTCCTCTGATAAGTGGTTTAGGGGTTCTGTACAAAAGTATCTCATATATAATTAATTTTTTCCATTTCAAGTATTTTGAAATCTCATTTGAGGCCACCATTGGAACAGGACCCAAATGAACAAAAAAATTCCACAAACTTTTAAGGCAAAGAGAAGAGCTTTATAAAGTTCTAGAAACTTACTTCTGCTATATCTTTTACAATCAGGAAAAAAACCAACCATAATGCTTTTTGAAAACATTTGTACTGATAAGAGATATGAAATCACATGGCACCAAAATAAGCAATACAAAATCATTAAATTCAGCTTGCATGGTCAGACCAATTTCTTTTTTTTTTTTTTTATTTTTAAATTTTCACTCAGTTTCAAGCCTTACTTCTTTTGGCAGTAAATTATTACAACAGAGTAGGAAAATAAGCTGTAACAAAAAGAGCCATGAGGAGTACCTTGATCCAAACTACATACAGCGTTACTGGTAACTTTGTTAAAAAACTGTTGAAATTGACTTTAACTGTGCCTCTCAGTTATTGTGATTTATTTATCTTTTACAACTGTTTTATAATTTCACAGGAAATACACACCCAGTATACTCCAAGCACAACAGTTTTGGTCATAGTGCATACATACATGGGAAGATGTTCCATGACACACACACAAAAATAAAAAAAAAAAAAAAAAGAAAAGAAAAGACCTGGGCAATCCCCTCCCACTCCAAACCAACAACTAATACTCAGCTACCCAAAGAATATTATCAGTTTACTGCAGCTGATCAAGTTTCTGCTATTCTGCTGAGCTACAGTAACAGTGTGCGCTCTCCTAACCCTCTACAACTGCTCAGCGAAGCACGTAAGGAAACGCATCTTTTTCACCACAAAACAGTCAATCGGCAATCGCTTTTCTACCAGAAAAACATTCATCATGTTAGACCAAGTGCCCACACCCAATCCAACAGATGCCAAAGCAGATGCTACTGAGCGTCAACTCTGACTTGTACGTTGGCACAGGGTCACACGCTGCCCTCCATCAGAGGAGCTAGGCACAAGCTCTACCCATGCAGTTTACCATTAGGTATATGGTGCACAAGCTTCAGAGGTCTTTCTACAAAAATTAGGGAAAGGACATTTCAAGAGGCACGTGGAACAACCTCCAATCCTGAGTAGCACAGGAAGAGTTCAAGAAGACACAGCAAAAAACAGAAATAACCTCAAAAGATATAAAACATTTCAAAATGAAAACAAAAATTTACTTATTACAGAAACCTTTGGAGTTTCTTGACAGGTTTGACTGAACTGAGAGTTTAGCTGAATTTAGAAAAAGATTACATATGCAGAACTCAAACACTCCCCGCAGCTAATAAACAAAGGATATTTCCCAAAAAAGGCATAACCCCTCACATTTCAGGTGAAGTTATTGACCAGCTTAAACCCTAGCTGGTAATGTTTGAAAAAGAAGTTATTCTGCATCTATTTATTTTGCAGTTTCTTGCATTTTTTCTGAAGCATTTCACTCTACTGTAGAAGACATAAAAGACTGCCTGTAACTCAACATTGTATTTTTTTAAGAGCCTACTTCCTATTTCTAAAGAGCGTATTTCTAAAGTAAAACTCCAAAATACAGAGAACTCTAGTATTTCTTTTATTATTCACACATGCAAATTAACCTGTCCAAAGGTGCTTCAGTATTACAAAACCAGTTTCTCAGTAATGAAAGAGAAAATATCCTTCCCAAAAAGTGAATTTTACCTGATGAGTGCATTGAGTGGAATTTTTTTCCATGGGATACCCTGCTTGAGCAAATCATTAGCAAAAGACTGAATTGAAAACAAGGACTGTAGAATGGCATTCATATAGCAGGTGTTTCCCAAGTTTGAAAATCTGGAAAAAAAAAAAAAGATTGAACATGGTATGTATGTCAATGTGTAAACAAGCCAGCGTTAAACATGGCACTACCAACATGCAGGACATTCACCCCAGCCACCCCTCCCAGAGTTCTTATTGGAGCTGTCCCCTGCCCTTCCAACTAAACTGAAAACTCTCAGGTGGCGGCATTTATCAGGAAAGCACCTATGAGTTTCTACAATCAAAATTTTAAAAAAATGTGTATATATACACAAGATAGAGAAATGAATCATGAAAGTGTAAGAAAGGAACATGAATTACCTGAAATTTTTATACCTCTCAAGTTCTCAGGAAGTGAATTTAAGAATACGTATTTTCCAAACTAGGAAAAATGTTCCCTATCTCAGTGTTCATTAATTTCAGGATTTTTTTTCATTAAAGAATTATAACAAGATTGTGCATGTTCTGATGATCAAAGTGTGCATGCTAGATAAAGAAAATTAAATTTACCCTTGTAATTGTTGTTGAGGATGGGTGGAAAGGGGCACTCGGGGTTTGTTCCACCCTGTGTAATCTTGATTAGATCTCATTTTTTTAACAGAAAGAGGGGCAGGCTGAGAAAGAAATCCTAGGCTTCTTTTGGCTGAAGGAGTCTGGCTGGATACACTAGACCTAAAAACATAAAAGGATGAGAATTATAAGGTTTGTAATGCTCTTCCTTAAATAGCTATAGTCCATGACACTGGAATTGTATCACTATAGAAGACAAGGATTGGTAAAGCCACACAAGAAAACTGGCACATATCATAAAGCAAGAGAGGTGCGAGAGAGCAAGCGCTTCTTTGCAGAGCACTTAAATACTTTAGTTATATTTCCTTATATCCAGAAGTATGCATCCAGTGTAACCAAGCCTTTTCCCCACACTGTATGATGAGAGGAAGAATGATTGTGCAGCATGAGATCATCACTCCTAAGATATGCTTAAAATTCACATCTGGGCCAGAGTCTTCATTTTCAGCCTCTTGTTCTTGTAACCTAATCACTCTGGACCTCAGTCCCTCATGTGTAAAGCACAGACAATGCTTCTTTTCTTCCTTGATCTTACATCTCATCTATCTAGGGCAGAGATCGACAGTATGATTGCACAGTGTCTAACACAGAAGAATCCCAACCTCAGCAGGACTCAGTATTACTAAAATACTATTATTAAAATACAGGGTTTCATGCCATTTATCTACGTGGGAAAAATGAAGCAAGGATTCAGTGTAAAGTTCCAGAGTTTATACAGAATTTGAATCATCTAGAGTTTAGATATCATTTGGATCATTCACAATGACTATAATAAGCTTGAGTGATTTTAGAAAGTCTATCTATTGCAAGCAGTAACTGGAGTTTGTAGATGTAACTAGAACAATTGTAGCCACACTGAACACCTAGATTGTACACCTGGGGAAAACCAAAACAAAACACCCCACACATTTTATGCATATAAGCTATATACCATGTGATAAACACACAGGAAACTGAAGATGCTAATTCAGGGGAGAGAACTGTCATTTACAGTTCATGCTAGTGAATCAGTCCTACCTGTCCAGGGTGGAACTGCCAGTGGAATACTCTTTTGATGAGGACCGACCACCATAAAAGGATGATGACTGCAGTGGTAAAATGCCTTGAAAAACAGAAAGAGAGGCAGGTCGTTTTGTTCCAGGTAACTCAGCCATTTATACAATATATAACTCATTTAAAAGTATTTAGTCAAAAGGTTTAAAAATCCTCAAACACTGTTTTCCAGAATTGGCTGGGAAAGTACTAATGCAAATATTAATCATATGTTAGTAGAGATATGCTGAAGTTTTAATTGAACTTAATATCATAAAATCCATCAAATCCAAACTGCAATACAAAACATTAAAAAGTCATTGAACGGTCTTAACTATATGAAAGATAATAAATATCCACCTCTTGTTCAAATAGACAAGATACACATAACAGAAAATCCACTAATGATTTCCAATACAGCACTCTCAAAATTCAAGACAAATATGCAGAAGTGAAAACAGTTTCTCTTCCCACTCCAAATTCCACAGTAAATTACTATATGCTTGGGGCAAAATATGATTGTTTCATTGTTGTGATATCATTGTGTGAGATCCTGACACTCTAATGCCTCAGATGGTCCCACATAAAAAAAAATGCTCTCAAGAGTCAAAAACCCCACCTATTACGGTGAATCACAGTGTAATTTAGTTTGGATAATGAATAAACATTTGCTTCTATACCAGCTTGAAATGGTTTGAGCCATGCAACTTTCAAGAGTGCAGATATATAAAGGAAGTTCACAATACTATTACCTGAACTTGCAGGTATACACTCACAGATTCTAATTTTGACTCTAAAGAGCAAACCAGATTTTCTTTCAGAGATAAACATTCACCTTACTGGCTCGTCCAGCAACATGTTTGTGCCATCAGAGCTACGCTAAAAAAAGAATGCATTCAGCAACATTCCCAATAAAAACAAGATCTTGAATGCGTTCCCCTTTATGGGGAAAGAGGCTCTGTATTTATTAGTAAAACTGAAGAATGGTGCTGCTTACTAGCTTATGTATATACTGTCAATATTTCTATATTGTCTATAAAACCTTGTCACATACCAGTACACAACAGAACAAAAGTTCTGGCCCCAAAAAGTTCCCCTTCTAAGTTCTGGGGAAGAGATAGGGAAGCAAAAGCAAACAGTACACATTTTCAGCACAAAAACCAGCCTACAATTCCTGTGGGCATTAGCAGCAAAGAAGAGATTTAAAAATAAACAAGCAAGCAAAAAGGAAATCCTTATGTGTTTACAGCAATCCCCTCCCAAGGGGATGGGCAGCTTGGAGCAAGGTTTGAAGGTGCTTGTTGAATTTTCAAACAAGCCGGCATGAGGTGTATTGTAGGTTGCCCAGAGAAGTTGTGGACACCCCATCCCCGGAAGTGTTCAAGGCCAGGTTGGATGGGGCTTTGGGCAACCTGGTCTAGTGGAGGGTGTCCCTGCCCATGGCAGGGGCGTTGGAACTAGATGATCTTTGATGTCCCTTCCAATCCAAACCATTCTATGGTTCTGTGATTTTATGATCAGCACCCAAGTATAAAGGTCAGGGTCACACTAGAGCAGGATAGGCTTTGAAAATGAAGGGAAGTTGTTTGCATCTCATATATGGGTCTGTAGGAAGCAAGAAAGTTAATGGCACAGGGAAAGTAGATTAGGAAAATCACCTCTGCAGCAACTTCTAAACTAGTAACAAAGGGGTAAAATTGTACTGCTCAAAGCCAGATATCATTTGGTTTTACTTTTATTTTTTTACCTGATGTTCTATTTTCCTCTGCCTGCTTCAGATTCAGCTGTTTCTCTCTGCTACTGTTCAAGTACTTCCACGCTGGATCACTCAAGGCTTTATTATTCCTACAGATAAACAAGAATGGAACTCAGTGCAGTTACACAAGATACAGGATGTTCCTGCTTGATATTTACAACTTTTTTTAAAGCATTTCTCTCCTATCACCTTTAATACTTGACTATGGAACAATTAAACTTTACTTGCAGGTAAATTTAACCTACTCATTTAAATAAGCCGTCTTACTTATGATTAAATGTGATTTCAAACACACAGAGCTTATTTCCTTTATGAATTTCATTCAATAAAGAAGGTAGCTATTGCACAGCAGTAAAAACACGTACAGTACATACGACAATCCTGACTAAACTAACAAAAGATGACACAAAATTTGCATGTGCCAGTTCCTGGAAATCCTGAATACAAATCCCATTTCAAGCACCCAGTGCATTCAGAAGTTGACTAGTGGCTGGCTTCTACCATGTTGCTGAGCATTCTTTTCAGAAAAAAATACCTTTACAAATGAATGGTTTAAAATCAGAAACTAGAAATAATGGTTACTTACGTTGAAGAATCATTCTCTTTCGGATAATCTTCACTCATTTCTGAACCAGGAGGTTGTGTTCTTTTCCTCTTTTCACTGATGACAGAAAATTTTTGAAGTGGTCATTCTTTCAGAAAGGCTAGTAAATGGTCCTCTTCCAACAGAACAGAACTCCTCAATGCTTTCTGTGCATTTTCCACCTATCTTCCACAATCTCCACTTTTATAACATAGCATACAGAGAAGAATTTGGTCTGCCCAACTCCTAAGTTGTTCATAAAGCTCTAGTGCCAGTACCAGCCAGAGGCTAGAAAATCACATGTTAACATCCTGTTAAAAGTAACAGCAAAACCAGAGGAAGAAACAATTCCCTTCTTACTTCTAGGTGTACTGAGTTCCACCTGTAGCTCTATAAAGAGCTAAATTTTAACAATATCATAATAAGAGTATAACACTCCTACCGATTCTCCAACAAGCCCGTTCTGTGAGGGACTGACACAGGAGATGCCGAAATGTTCACCCTGTTGCTAGATGTTCCAGTTCCAGTGGAATTCTTAACAGATGCTCTCGCTGGGGTACCCAGCACCTTGCGAAACGAATTTTCCTCCTTGCTTTCCACAGCCACTCTTTTGGGAGGAGTCTGCAAAACCCAAGTGGAGGGGGCCAGGGAGACAACCGAAACAATGAAAAACATGACCATCTTCAGTCTAAGCAGTTGCATTTACACAACTGCTTTACTTGCTACAATGTAGCATCTAAAAGCAGAAAAATGCTACTTGTAATAGATTAAGAGAGTTTAACACTAATTAGACATAAGTAAAATTTTGACTGTATCCATGCAAGTCATAAACACATAATCCATTTCCCTTCTCATTTTCCATCACTAAGTCAGTTGAACTTTAGTTTTTAAAATTTCCTTTACATGCTTTGACATTAAAACACCCAAGGCATGATTCCTAACTATCCCCAGATCAATCCTGGGGAGTATTAAAAAGACAAAAAAAAAAAAGCCATATTAAAAACCACACAATTAGAACAGTGCCCTGACAGCCTTGGGCCAAGCAAGCACTACATGTAATGCAATGGAAAGAGCTAATAGTTGGTTGACTAAGGAATGTTGGTCAATTTTAGACTTGAAAACTAAACATGTCTAATCTTACCACTGTATACACAGCCTTAGAGTTTTTACTGAGAGATTGCCTTTAAGCAACATGTAAAATTTGTTTTGGGACAACGTCAAAAATATTCTCCCTCAGGGCAGTAATACAAGCATATTCACAGAGATAAAGTAAATTAAAGCTGGTAGATACACCATGAAATCTCTGTTATGCAGGGACAAAAGGAAGAACAAAAATATTTTGAAGGAAAACCACTTTCAGGGAAAAGGTCTGCAAAATTTACACAAAAATCTGAGCAGAATGCCACAAATTCAGTAAGTTTATTCAGATACAAAACTGGGTCAGCAGCTTTTCAGTACATACATTTGGCTGAAGTCTGCTAAACTCATTAAGACCTATGCTGACTGTAACATGTTCAGCTGCCACGTAAGGTGTTCAGTATAAACAGAGAGATATGCAGAACTATGTGAGAAGCAAGTCTTAATCGTGTACTTTCCCTCTATTTCTGCTTCTTCTCTGCCTGATAGCTCAGCATGAAGAACATATTTTGTCTTCCACAGCCAGACACTGACCTTTCTTATTCATACAGAATATATGACTCCTCACAAGACACACTGTTGCCAACCACCCTGTATACATCTATTCCAATCCCTCTAGATTACAAAAACTTCAGATGCAAAATAAGTATTTACAGCGCTATTACAACACACAATAAGAGAATGAGAGGAAGAAATAAATAAAATAAAGGAAGGAGAAGGAGAGGAAAATTTGGAACAATTAAACAAACCTGGTTCTCTATATAAGAGAATTGCCTATTAGCTTCCTTCTGTGTGGTCCTGCTGCCCAGCACACCTCCAAAGCTGCCAGATCCCTGAGAGGGTTTCCCAGCTGACAGAAAAAGTACACAACATTTGATCTGATTGTCTTTTAACTGATTGGCATTCTTATTTGTAAGATGTTACTTAGCTGGAGTTGATTTTGGAAAGGACACACTAGATTTCTTGCCAACAGACCATACAATATTCTGAGTGCACAGACATAAGCATGTTTATGTATATCCCTTATATTGGTCATTTACTCAGTTGGCAGTAAAGTTCCTATCCTTAAAAAGAAAAAAAATAAAGAGGTAAAATAAAAAGGAGAGAGACCATGCATGTGTGATAAACAGACAACAGTTTTTCAAATACCAACACACTTACAACATAAACAATTCCCACAAGTTTAATCTCTGCTTATTGGTCAGCGTGACAAAAGTACATTATGAGAAAGGTATATAACAAAAAATGGGGTTCAGAGGCATTTACATAAATGTAAAGAAAGTCAGTAACACCGGGAGGACAAAATGGCTAAAGATGAAAATAAAGAAAACACAGCATCGACCCCTTTCCAAACTATTATTAACATGATTTGCAACAATTGCACTTACCAGTATGAACCCTGTCTTGATGGACCGCATCCAAATACATCCGCATTTCATTTGCATCTTTAAATGGTACCTTATCAATTGTCAGGAAGCTGGTATCCTTTAGTGTTAGCATCAAACAGCACAGTTTTCTACCATTTGGTCGTAAGGTCACAGTTTTAATGTTATGGCTTAGCTGAAAACAAGAAAGTGACTATAAACATAAATCCATTTCTAAAAGGCCGAAATACTTACAAATTCAAACAAAACATTTCAAATAGAGAGGGTAAGAGGCACTCACACCGAAATGCTTCTCCTTGCTCCATTTCAATCAAACATTAAGGCTCACAGAATTAATGTTACTGGTTATCTTGGAAGCTGACAGAACTGAAAGGACAGTATCACTATAGCTCAACAGTCCCTATATTCCTGGATACGCTTTCTGAGCCTTGCTTTGCTACTAAGTGTGACATTTTGGAACGTAAAGAAATAAGAGCTTCATAAAGTCCCATTTAGCTGTCTGAAACTTCCACATCAAAGTTGAAATATAATTTAAGATGGGGAAAGTTTTAAATGTTAAGTACAAACTTCTACTCGCTTTATAATTTGCTCTGAGGGGAGACAGATCTGACATAGCTTAAAAAATTTGCTAAGGAAGGGAGTAAGTCAGTAAGAAACATGCTTAGTCTATATGCAACATTCTAACAATTAAGCAGTGTCAAAACTTTTCAGGGTTAAGGTCAAGCACAAGAATAATTTTAATAAGAATTTGTGCTCCCTAATAATGCTGCTGCTACTTTATTACACCCTTACTTAATTGTTACTTCATGCTAAGTCACCTACAAGAATTGGCTGGTCAGTAAAGGCTCTACTATCCATGCAGGTTGAGGGTAACTCCTAAAGCAGAGTGAGGAAGCAAAAGAATATCTCAAATCTGAAGCCCACATGGAAGTTTGACAGTACATATCTAAGCTTACTCTCATTTTCATTTCCCTTGTCCTTTTTTGCTTGATTCTTCATTTTGCTGCCACTTCTTTAGCCTTGCCTAAGATCAGGCACTAGCTACATAATGACCTCCATGCAAGGATACTGATACACTCAATGCTTCATACAAGATTGGAAACCACAGCCAAGGTCATCAGACACTACACAAGACAGAGTAAAACACTGCCCATCAGATTGGAGTCGTCTTCTAATTTGGCCTGACCTGCATACAGCCACACTACCGATCTAAATAACAATGATGAATTAATAGACATGAACATTAATTACACCCTAACTCCAAAGTTTCGCTGTACATTGCTCTAGAACCTGTCTTGTCTCCTTCAAATTACACACAAGTTTAAAAATAAAAATTATTCCCGATTTTTATTTAAATTTATTCAGGTATATAAAAGACTGAGATAGTAAAAGGCACTCCATGGCCATCAGTGAGATTTTTTTTTTTCCCCACACAGACCTCTAGCTTCTTGGAAAGCCGATCTAGACACAACAGCAGTTTACAAGAGAAGCTGGAAAAGCACCTCAATTGGAAACTAAGGGTTTATTTTGCTGAGAAAATTACACTTCTGAAATACTTTGTGCTCAATCCTTGTGTGTTGGGATTTTTTTTTTGTGAGGTGGTGTGGGTTTTTTAAAAAATATAAGCTAAAAGTGTCTTTAAAGAACTAAGAATTGAAAATGGGGCTCCAAATTTTTCATTCTCTTTTAAAACATTGAGCCCAGTGCAAAGGGATTACAGTTACTTCACCATCTCAGTGCAAAACAACCTATTTCAACTCAAAATGCTATCATGAGAGGGCTCCATCCATACTCTCCATCCACCTATTATGACCCAGTCAGAATCACAAAGTCTTGGGAGATGGGGTAAACAAAATATTTCTCTTAATAAATATATAGCACTTGGGACAACTTAGTCGAAGCTCTGAAACATCAGTATAAAACATATCATCTAAGACATAAGAAATGCGATGATGTACACCAGTCAGTGCATAAAGAAATATAACCCTGGATCCATCCAAACATTCCAGTACAGAAAAGTAAAAAAAAGGTGGTGAAACCACCCACAGTTCTCCCAGAGCAACTTGTCAAAAAAAAGGGAATGCTACTTCTAAAGCAGAATTATCAGGTATTTGTCACACATGAAGTGTGTGAGAGCAGCGTGACAGACTGGGGCCAGCTCACACGAGCTACTTGTGTGTCACAAGACTGAGCACAAGTGGTGGGCAGCTCTCCCTGCCTGCTGCTCCTACCAATGCTCTTGTCCTGGTGTCTGTGTTGCTTAAAGATGAACAGGACCAGAAAGCAGAACCTGCTGAAAAATAACCACCATCCAAACAAAAATAATTGGTCTAAAGATGTGTCTGCTCATTTCCTACTTCTCCTTCGCTGTGTTCCTAGCCACACCATGCCATCTCACCCCCTTCACCAGATCTTGCATTCGGTCCTTTCCACAAGTTAATTCACATGAAAACCCTCCACCGAGCTTAGGGAGAGATCTGACGAGTGTTAGAGCCAGCAGAGCAAGAAGCTGGGAGCAAAACCTGCCCCTTTAGGCCACGGTTAGCTGTCCCACAGGCTCATCCTCCCCATGGAACCACATTTGGAGTCACTGTTGTGCCATGTTAATGCTTGTCCAGGCAGAAAGGAGCATGTGAGAACAAGCACCCAGGGAAGGTACAAGGGGAAGAAGAGACCACTCTTCTCAGAAGCAACATGGTCCAACGCTGGATTAAATCAAACACGGAATCACAGCATCGTGGGTGAGAAGGCAGACGATTATTTTCAAGCCTACAGTGACATAGGTAGGAACTATGCACAGCTAATGATTTTCTCACGCCTTGATTCCAAGGCAACACAGGCTGCCAGCTTCTTTGCTGAGACTTTTCAGCACACTAAGGCAGCAAAACTTGATCGTTCTCAAATAAAGTGAACTTTTTTTTCCACTGAGTCTGCACACAGAAATAAACAGCTCAGAGAAAGATCTGGTGAACACTACTGCTAAAAAACAACTGTGGCATGAAAAAAGCAGAAGCCAACATTTAGATCAGCTTAGGCTGTTACAAGGTTGCTAAATAAGACAGGACTTTTTTTCTTCCAACTGCTCTTATACCCTCTAAATATTCTTAAATCAGATTGCAACTTCTTACAGGAAACACTCCCTCACATTCTTTCGGTTTGGGGCATTTTGCACAAACTAGCTAGACTGAGCTGAAAACAACTACAGAATGAAAAAAGGCAATTTAGGCTGAATGCTGCAAGAGAATCCTCAACAGTGATCTGTATCAGCCTCCCATTGAGGAAATCACATTGCCTGGCATATTTAAAACCTAAAACTGTAACAACTGCTGTTCAGCAGAGTCTTGTATAAACAAGCAAAAGGTTACAAGTGTGTTAACACCGTTACTCTTCAGCTGGGAAAACTGCTAGCACAAAGCGTTCAGGATCTTCAGCTCTGTATTCTGCTAATGTACCAGTAACAGAAAGGTTACGCATTCCAAAAATCCAAACACGTGAGCCATGATCCCATATACTTTGGTAACTTTTCTCTGCTTTTTGGTTCTTCCCATTCAGTGGTATCTTGATGCTGACCTTGGCAAATCCTTTAACAATACATGTGAATAATTTACAGGAGAGTTATACAAAGGGATTAGTGTTCAGGAAACGAGGAACAAGAAACAGCGACAGAGGAAAGTTTGCGTGACATTTAATAGCCTTGAAGAGGACAGCTGTTCACAAAAGAGCACAATCCATGCACCGCTGAAACAAAAGCTTTAATATTTGGTGTACCTGAAATGTCTTTGGAATTCCTCCAACATTGTAGTGAACCACTAGACTCACTTTGTTGTCCTTCTCCACAATTTCAAAGCTCCCTTCTTTCCATTTTGTAATCCCAGTCTGCATGCTGCGCATCCGGACAGGTCCGTGCACCTTTAGTGGAGCCATGCTTTCTCACGGAAAAAGAGCTAACAAGAGTAAGCGTACTCCACCTTAAAACCTGTTAAAAAGGAGAAATTTATAACTAGGCAGGCCAAATAATCTCTACAGAAAGATGTAAGTGTGGCTTAAAGTTTCTGTAGAAGTTCAGTAGAGTCGTTTTGCTGGTATTTTTAAACAAACCGAAGGAGAGTTAGACACGAGTAAAGGAAACTTAGATAAATAAAATCTCTTCCAGTTTGGGAAGCAATGCTCTGATTCCTCACTGTTGAAAGGCGAGCTGCTCCAAGACAGACACAGAAGTTCTTGCAAATCCTTAAGGCAACTTCAACAGATTTAAGGACACAAAAAAAAAAAGTGCCTGAGGAACGTCGACAAGAGGTGGAAACCAAAGTTTTGAAGGAAACCTAAGAGGGCAAACGAACTCGTTTCTGCCGGGATATGAGCCACGGTCACCTGGAGGGGCCCGGCCGGGGGTCCCCGGG